TTTTTCTTTCCTGAACTGGGGACTGAACTCAGGCCCTTGTGCTTGCCAGGGAAGCACTTATTCCACTGAGCCTCCTCCCCAGCCATTGTGATGCATTTTTAATATAGTACGTTGAACTATTTATTAATGACGATTTTCCTAATTTTATACAGCTTGCACTTTCTAGTGACAAGATTGCTACTTTACAAATGCCACTTGTAAGTCTTCATCTAGATGTAAAAGAAAATGGTGAGGTGAAGCCATATTCAGTTGAGATGAATAAGGAAGAGTTGCAGAATCTCATAAATTCCTTGGAAGCAGCTAATAAGGTATTGCTCTTAACTTTATCATATTGTTTAAATGGTTTTTTATTGTTACCCTTAGAACAGTAAAAGAAAAATATACAGGCTTTTTTTTAATTTTTCTCTGATATTTTATCAGTATAGAAAAATCTGATCTCTAAGATAAGATTGAATGAATGAATTACAACTTGTTCAATTACTGTTGGAAATAACTTATCAAGTAGTTATTTTTGAAAGAACAATAGTGCTATTCTAAATGCTGGATTGGCTTTGCTTCAGTGCTCACTAATAATAAAAATAAAATTTTACTTTGGGACCATTGTATTACTAGATGAGTTTTTATGATTACTAAAGTTAGTTGCTGATCTAAAAAAACCTTAATTAGCTAGATATATGACAGAAAGTTGCTTTTGTAATCCTTTAAGTTCAGAAGATAAAATATTACTTGTAGTAATACTGGGTTTAGACGACAGAAACAATGACTATCTTAAAAACTTTGGTTTTACAAAGCAATAACGAAATAACAGTAATGACTCCTGGTGTTTCATAAGTGACAAAAATAATCTTTAAACATTAGAAACTATTGCTGTGAGGAGGAAGTATGTGTGCGTACATTCCCTCGTTATTGCTTAGCGTTTTCTCAGGTCATGCATCCTGGCCATTAGGTCTTGGTGATTCTTACTCACTTCTGTTGTCATGATCAATCTTTTTTATCCTGTCTTTTAATACACTGACAACACTAGCTGCTGCTTATATGCTGCAGTTGCTCAGACATTTCAATTTCTTGATAACTGGCCTTATGGTTTGTGTCTAGACGTCCTCCAAAGCTCATGCACTCTTAGGTGGGCATTTTCAGAGTTGGCTGGATCTGGAGTGTGTGATTACTAAGTCAGCTGGCTTGGCATGGTTCTGCTGGGATCAAGAAATGATGTTGGGATTGATTCATAGTGGGATAATGAGATTTAGAGTGTTAGCGCCTCCCACCCTATGTGGCCTCCGTAAGATATAAGGGACAGAAATAGAGTCCTCTTCTCATTGCTGGCTTGCTGCCACACCACCCTGCCTTGGAGCCAGCCATCTGTGGACTGAAACCTCTTCAAACTATAAGGCAAAATAAACCTTTCCTCTTTTAACTTTGGGTGACACACGTTGTCTCAGCAATGAGAAAAGTAACTAGGACAGTTGGTCTACGTGCTCAGCAAGCAGGCTAGTAGCTCAGGCCTGCCTTGCTTTTGGATTGGGATAAGTATGTGAGAGGGAGAGTAAGTCCTGAGTGACGTAAGCCACGGAGCCCCACAGACAAGTGCCATCATTACTGTGCATTGTACTTGCTTGTTATTAGCTCTCCATATCCTCCTTCTGAGATGTCAAAGCATTTCATTTAGGGTACATGGGAATCTTTCTGGTATGACCTGATAACCCTTCTCTGACTTTTTTTTTAAGGTGGTCCTGCAGTTGAAATAACTGGAAATGATGAATACCAACATTATCAGATTTTCCTGCTACAATTGATGTGGCGGAGTGAACATGTGTTCTGAAACCCTGCAGCACACTGACTGCTACACCAAGCTGAGAAAGAAGCAGTGTTGAGATTAGAAAGATAAAAATCTATTCATGTCTCTTAAGAACAGGAAATTACTTGGTTGAAAGGAAATGCATAAAATGAAAGTAAAACAGCTATGGTAGTTTATATTTTCATAATAACTGTTTGGTCTCCTTTACCAATACTTGGGAAATCTTTGTTAATAGTTTTATTAAAGCTAAAAGTAGTTTCTGAGGTAATATAAATATACAAATGTAATGAAATATGTGAGTAACAAGGACATGTATTATGGGTATATAATAAATTTATGAAATTTAAGTTTGTAAGAGTATATATGTTACATGTATAACTCAGGAGATACCATATATTTTTCATTCAAAGAAAATATATCACATTTCTTAAGAGAAAAGGTCTTTTTGAGACATGAACAAGAAAACTTAAAAATATCTGAATAATTCTGAGTATGAATTGTAGAAACTAAAATCTAGGACACAGAAAAGGTTAAAGCAACATTATTACTTCTGTATTTCTATATCTGATTAGGAGGCTTCTGTAATAAAAGGAATACATTAATACATTGTTTTAAATGTCAGGTAATACTCTACAGGTCTGGTTAAAGGTTTTTGGTTATACATTTTTAACATTGAATTTAACACTTTAGGATGTTAAACACTTTCAGATGTTTATCTTCATTGGAAGATAAGCCATTTTTATTCCCAGCTAATTTTAAAAACGAGTATTCTGAACAAATAAAAAGAGTTGTTTTATTTTTATGTGTTTTTAAATGACACCTTCCATAATAGCAGTTAATTATAATTAATTAATACATAATTAGTGTTTCATGTTTGCAAGCTTCATGTTTCCTGAAAGCATCACACAACTCCTAGTTATGTCCAGAGCAGTTATACTATTCTTTTCAGATAGGTGAAGTTAGGCTGAGAGAGTTTTAATGTCTGAGTGTAATCTAAGCAGTGCTACTTGAAATGAGTCTGTACACTGAGACCAATCTGTGAATTGTTTGTTATAGGTCAGTGATTAGAAAAGCTTTGGTTAGAATGTTCATCAGTATAGTGTATTGCTTTCTTCATCAAGAAAATTTGTTTATGGAAACTATTAGCAGAAGTAAGCAGTGTGCTTGATGTGGTTGTTGATTTATACTCTTTGCAAGTTCCTTGTGTCATTATGGACCAAAGTCAGTTCACAGACCAGTACTTCTGAGTGGCACTGATCTTGAGATTTGGTCTGAATTGCAGTCTTCCAGACAAAATTTCTTTGCAGTACTAGGGATCAAACTCGAGACCGTGTGCTTGCCTGGCAGACACTTATGCTGCTGAGCTATGTCCCTGACCCGAGAATTTCTTTTACAAGGAAAGTCTCTTGCTCCCGATAGTACCCTGCGGTGACATGATATTTCATTGCCATGTTCAGTAGTTCGATTGAAATCTAATCAGCAAACTATGTACTACATTTAAAGGGTACTTTGCTAAGTTTTGACACACCCACGCAAGCATCACTGCAACTGAGATAGTGAACTCTAGTAACTCCTGAGAGCCTTCCATCCTTCCTCTAGGTAACCATTGATCTGCTTCCTATCACTGCAGGCTGGTTGCATTTTCAAGAGTCTAGTGTAAATGGGATCATACTGCATGTATTTTTGTTTGTTTGTTTGTTTCTTTCTTTCTTTCTTTTTTTTTTTTTTTTTTGGCAGAACCTGAGGGATTGAACTCAGGCCCTTGCGCTTGCCAGGCAAGTGCGTATTCTACTGAGCTATCTCCCTGGACCCCCATACTGCTTGTATTTTTCTTCCCCCCTGCCCTTTCTTTGGTGTTGGAGTTTCAACCAAGGGCCTGTAGATACTAAACATGTGATCTACCACTGAGCATAGTTGTACTCTGAAAAAAAAGTCTTATTTCAGCAGCGTTTTGAGGTTTTGTCCATGTTGCATATATCAGTAGTTCATTCCTTTTTACTTGTATTTTAACAGTTACTCCATTGTAGTGTTCTTTCACAGTATAAAACTGTGAAAGAGTTGACCTGCCGATAGACACTTTGGTTGTTTCACGTTTTGGGCTTTTACAACACAGAGAACACTGTGAACATGTTGTATGCATCTTATGGGGGGCTTTCCTTTGAATAGAATGAAGTGGTTGCCTTGTATGATGGGACAGTGTTTGTGCTTTCCAGAGTGGTTTTACCATTTTGTTCCCACGACAGTAGTGTGAGAGTTCTCCAGAGCACTGTGACCTGGTATGGTTAGTCTTTATGATTTCGGGTGTTCTAATCTGTGTGCAGTGCAATTTCCCCATGCTTTTACTGATCCTTTCTTTAGTTACTAATAATGTAGAGTATCTTTCAACATGCTTGTTTGCCATCTATACATTCAGTGTTTGTTGAGATCTGTTGTCCAGTTTTAAATAGGATTGTTTGTTGCTTGAGTCAGAGACTTCTTTTTGCTGATTATAAGACCATCATCACATACATGTTGTGGATATTTTTTCCACTCTATTTTTATTTTTAATTTTTTCTTCCAAAAGGACCTTAGTCTTTTTAGAAGAGCTGTACATTTACAGAAAGGTAGAGAAAGGTACAGTGTACAGCAGCAAAGCCCTGCACCACATACATGGCCTATTAGGAGCTGGGCCACATGTGGGAAGTGGGCAGCAGCGTGAGCAAAGCTTGATTGGTGTTAATAGCCGCTGTCTTGGCTCACATTACCTCCCAAGCTGCATGTCAGCGCAGCAGCAGTATTAGCTTCTCATGTCACCAAGTCTGCTGTAGACCATGCCTATGGTGTGACAGATCTGGGTTGTGTGCTGCTCCTTTGCTCCTTTTAATCATCTGGAAGCCGCTCCCACCCACCACCATCTCAGGAAAGATTGTCTTCCATGGTAAGCAGGTGGCTAGTGGTAAAAGATTCTTCATGCTGAGATTTTCCCATTTGTAAATGCCTCACATTGGTATAGTTTTGGTATTGAACTAATATTAATATTATTAGCTGAATTCCACAGTTTATTCAGAATTCTTGAATTTTTACCTAATTTTGATTCCTGTTCCAGGATGCCATCCTAGATAACAGTATTACATTTAGTTATCACATTTCCTTGGGTTCTTTTGTTGTCCCAGTTTCCTAGACTTTATCTTTGATGACCTTGACAATTTTGAGAAAAATGGGCAGGATATTTTGTAAAACAATTGGGATTTTTCTGATTTTGTTTTTTCATAGATGAGGGGCTGTGGGATTTGCAGAAGAAGGTTGCAGAAACAAAGTGACATTTCCGCCACATGCCAAGAGGGAACACTGTTAAGGTGGTTGATGATCTGATGCTGGTCTTGATCACCTGGCTGAGGTGGTGTTCACTGAATTTCTTCACTGTGAAGGTAGTCTTTCTTTCCTCTTTTCCACACCATACTTATTGGAAGGAAATTGCCCTTTTCAGCCCATACCTAAAGGAAAGGACTGTTGTGCTTCTCTGAGGGTGGAATATCTGCATGAATCACTTGGAATTCTGCTGTACAGATTGGCTCTTTTTCTCAGTTTCATCACCCATATCAACATAGATTCATAGGTGCTTATTTTCTGTTCAAGTTAGAATCCATTTTTGCTTCACCACTGAAATTCCAGCTTCGGCCTTTTGGAGCAGTTTTGTTGCCCACGTGTCCCTGTGAGTGCATCTCCATCAGTGTGAGTGGGTTTTCTTTTGGGAGCATTTGAAAAATCTTTTTAAAGGAACCATTTTAATATCTTTAAGATATTCTAAGCTCCTCTTATATATTTCTTACCCAGGCTCAATCAGCCGTTTTCCCACAGAACCTTTTCTTTTTTTTTAATTGAAGCATATTAGAAACCAAGCTAGGTGTGTTGTGCTTATTGCTACTGGGGTATTGCAGCTTGTAGGCCCTCACAGAACTGATAGAACAAAGAATTCTGTGTCTATATACTAACCTGTATACAGCTCTATCTCTATCTTTAAATATTTCTTTATATAACTTTATGTATCTATTATAAGCCAAATGGGCATTAGCATGTAGATTTTTCTAGCATCCTACACTTTGCTATGTGTAGATTCCCACTCCCAACACTGAGAAACATGAATTCTAGCCCAAACTATCCATTTGTTTAATTCATTCATCTGTAGAAATACTAGAGTTACTAATCTAGGCCTTTGGGGAACAGCTTTACTAGCAAGAATTTATATGCACATGGTTTCTCTTTAGTTGTACACCTGCTACCAATTTCTGAAGTTAATGTAGGTCAGCACCTTGTTTACTTCATTGTTTATTTGTAATACAGTTGGGTTTATTTATTTTTGCCACAGTCTGTATTGCTTTTTGGAATACCTAAGCTTCTTAAATGATTTAAAAATTAGTGTGCTTTTACGTTGCATGGTTCTGTCAGTTTAGACAAATGCATAATGCATATTGTATGTCCTCTTAAGGACACACATTGGCTGCTTCCATTTATTATGAGCATTCCTAGGCATGTTTGTATGTGGTCTTGGGTTTTTAAAATACCAGGGTAATACCTAGGAATAGGTTGCTAGATCATGTGTGAGGCTATGCGTGATAACATGAAATAGCCACATTGGCTTTCAGAGTGGACAAGCTCCTCCCTCTTTCCCCTCTTGAATTTGTTATAACATAGCAGGAAAACTACTTGCTTAATTTTTAAAGGATAGTACATATTTGTTAATTATATGCATCTTGTACAATTGATCTGTAGAACTTTTTCATCTTGCATGACTTGAAGTCTGTGCCCATTGAATAGCAACTAGCGCCGTCCTGTTTTCTGTTCCCCCAGCTCTTGGAAATCACCATTCTACTTTATGCTTCAATACTTGGCTACTCTAGATATTTTGTATGAGCAATCATAGTATTTTCTTGTTCAGTGACCAGCTTATTTCGCTTACTATAACATTCCCAAGCATTTATTTTTCAAAGGGAAAAATCATATCCCTCTTCTGTATTTACATTGCATCTATTCACTTACGAGTTGATGTTCAAGTGTTATACTTTTTGGCAGTTGTGAATAATACTGCAGTGAACAGAAAGGGCAGACATTGTGAGATTTTTTTGTTTTTTTAAGAATAAATTATCATAGGGCTGGAGAGCTAGCTCAGTAGAATAAATGCTTGCCTGCCAAGCAAAAGGTCCTTAGTTCAATCCCTGGTACAATGAATAAATAAATAAATAAATAAATAAATGGAGTAAGTTGTCAGATGTGAAATTGCTGAATCATAGTTTGTTAAATTTGAAGACGCTGCATACTGTTTTATGTGGCATTGCAAGATTTTGCTGTCATACCAGCAGTATGTAAAGAAGCCATTTTCTCTGCATCCTTATCAGTATTTGTAATTTTATTTTGCTTGCTTGGTTTTATTAAAATTATTGCATCAGGGTGAAGTGATTATATCATGGTTTTGATTTGCATTTCTCTGATGATTAGTAATA